GTGATGACCTGACTGCTAGGAGGCTATGCCAAAGAAAGACCTGGTGTCTACATGTGAAGGACACAATTGTGACCCGGTTAGGAGATTTGAATGAATGCCACAATGCTGAACTCACCTATATTTCTGCCTTCCGTGTTTCCCAGCGAAACTGGAGTGCACAAGAGTTTCACTCTGTGCCAGCAGCCTTCCCAGAAGGCAATCCCAATGGCTCAGATGGGCAGACCTGTGACACTTCACAATAATCCAATCATGGCTGCCGTGCCATTGAACCAATGCTCATGCTTACCAAACCAGTAAATTTAAGTAAGTCCATTTGTATTTGGCCCGTTTCTTTTTTCCTTCTTGAAGGAACTAACGATAGACAGGCCTCTGCTATACAGATCACACTGGAGAGTGATCATGAGTTATGTTCACTTCTATGGGGTAGACTAATTCAGTGACAAGATTCTTCCCCAAAACTCTGCCTTCCTCCAAATCAAGATCATCAAGGCTATGTTCTCAGGTCATCGTGTGGCCTTCAAATGGCAATTTAAAAAATATTTGAAGCCGGGCGGTGGTGGCACACGCCTTTAATTCCAGCACTCGGGAGGCAGAGGCAGGTGGATCAAAAAGAAAAGTTACAAATTTGAAAACAAACAACATTTACTTTCTAACTCTAGGACTCAGGAGGAAGCAGAGGAAAAGTATGCAGTTTTCATGTTGGGGGAGGATCTTATGACAACAACAAAGTTACTGGACAAGGGGTACAGCAGTGGGGCTGAACTCTCCTAGGCTGTGCAACACCCTGGGTTGGATATTCACACTACCAAAAAGAAAAAGGAAAGGAAAGGGTGAGCTGGAGGAAAGGGGAAAGCAGAGCAAGGAAGATTCTAGAGATTTTCAAACTGCTTTTGATAAAGAGCCATTTCTTATTAAAATTCTACTCAGTTATTGTTTTATAGAGTAAAGTAGAAATAAGTTACTAGATAAGCAAAAATTTTAAAAGCTACATAAAATAGCTCAGTGTAGTGGCACACCCCTTTTTAAAATTTTCTTTCCTATTTATTCTTTGTGTCTTTCATGTCGTGCATCCAGAGCCCACCCATCTTCTGTCCCCTCACATCTGTCCTCTCCCCTGCAATCCCCACCCCCATTAAAACAAAATAAAACTTAAGGTAAAAAAGAAGAAAACAAAGGGAGGAAGGGGGAAATCTCATCATGGAAGCTGTAGTGTGACACAGAGAGTCGCGCAGTGAGCCCCGTCATTTACACATCTTAACATGCAGGCTTCCATTGCAGAGTCATGGTCTGGTTGGAGGCCCCTGGTCTCTGCTATACTAGCGACACTGGGCCCTCACTGGGACTCTTCCTGGACATCCCATTGCTGCCCTGTGTCCTGGAGATCCTGCAGCCCTGGGTCCACAGGACCCTCCCCCCTCACCCCCGCCCTACACCTATGTTCCAGCAGATCACAGATGGGATGTGCTTACCCTTAACCCTGGTTCTGGACCTGGGGACTTGCAGGGTTGGTCAGCCTGCCAACTCTCCCTTGTCATCACCACCAGGGTGAGTTTTCCAGCATTGACTTGGCCATTTCACCCTTGCATCAATGAGCAAGGTAGGGGTCAGTTCTCCTATACCCCCAGGGCCAGCTCTACTGTGTGGCACAGTGCACTCTGAGTACCACAGCTAATGAGGGGACAGGGACAGCTCTCCTGCTCTAATGAACTCAGGACCGTCTCTCCCACCTAAGAGAGGATGAGTAGTAGAGACATCTGCCCCATAACTCATTGATGGGTGGATGGATGGGGATATCTCTCCCTGACTATGCTATGGCACACATCTTTAGTCCCCGCATTTGGGAGGCAGAGGCAGGCGGATCTCTGAGTTTGAGGTAGGCTTAGTCTACATGTGAGTTCTAGGATAGTCAGAGCTACACAGAGAAATCCTGTCTCAAAACAAGCAAACAAACAAATGAAAAACAAACAGACCACAAAGCTACATAAAACAAAAGTCTTAATTTTTGCTAGATACAAGAGGCAAAACCATGTCAATAAATATCAGCTAAGCAAACATAATATAGACAAAAGTTTCTCCTACACGATAATCCTAGTTCTTTGTACTTAATGCAGACTAGTAACAGGTAAGTTGAGGCTCAGTCTCAGTACCAGTGATTTATAGAAAAATATCACTTGTTGACCTGAAACAATATACACATACAATCTAAAGATATGCATACAATATACACACACAACCTATGATAAGCACAACATCAAGTAGGTAAAGTAGTACTTGTTAGACTTACTACGCTGACTGTTGGGGGAAGATACGAAGGAAAGAAAATCTGAATAAATAATAATTGCTAAATCTAGATTCTGACCCACAATAGATCAAAAGAAATGGTGTGCTAGAAGTGCACGTCTCTCAGCTTCTGCCCCGACAATGAGCACCTTTACAGAGAGCCACATGAAGGATGGTGCCTCGTCACTCAGCATTCACCATTTACTTTGACTACATTCACGATCTTTAACATGTTCATCTCACTCTATTTTTTATCACTTGCTCCCCTCTTGTTGTGTGTACTTGGCCATATGACTGAGGGTAGTGGGCGTGTGCTGGGGTGTCTGTGTGGAACGGAGAGGACAGCCTCTGGTGTTGGTCTTCACCTCCTACATTATCTGAGATAGGGCCTCATACGCCAGGCTTCACCTCCTACATTATCTGAGACAGGGCCTCATACGCCAGGCTGGCCGACCCATGAAGGCCCCGAGCCACACCTTTGCCTCTGCACAGCCCTGACTGCAGGTAGGCATGGGCGAGTCTGGCTTCGATGCAGGCCACCTGGAAGTGCACTTCCCACTGAGCCATAAGCCAGCATACCTCGTTGTTCCCGAGCGCATCAAACTGATAAGGAACTATTAGCTAGAAGTTTCCCCTAGAGTTTAATGTGCCTGTGAGTTTTCCACATTGACCACCTGAATAAACCAAGGCATCTACTACAAAAAAATGCCTTTGCCTTTGTGAGTCAGAGTGAAAGAATTTAAGGTCTTGTGAAGCCCTCAGATACGGTGTATGTTTCTCCCTCCTCTTCCTCTTCTTTTTTCTCTTTCCTCTTTTTTCCTTCTCCCTCTCCTCACTCCACTCCATTTTTCCCCTTGAACTTTTTTCTTTTCCTTCCTTCCTTTCTTCTTTCTTTTTCGTTCTTTCTTTCTCCTCCTCCTCCTCCTCCTCCTCCTCCTCCTCCTCCTCCTCCTCCTCCTCCTCCTCCTCCTCCTCCTCCTCCTCCTCCTCCTCCTCCTCCTCCTCCTCCTCCTCCTCCTCCTCCTCCTCCTCCTCCTCCTCCTCCTCCTCCTCCTTCTTCTTCGAGACAGCTGTCTGTTTTATAGCCCAGGCTGGTCTTGAACTCATGATCCTCCTGTCTTAGCCTTTCAAGTGTTAAGATTATACATATGGGTCACCATACCTGGCTAGTTACAATCTTTCAATTCTGATGCACCTTTAACACAGCCACAGCCCTGAAACCTGCCCATGAAGTACAGCTGCAGGAAAGGACTGGGAAAAGGTATATTTTAAACCACGGTATTTCGCCAATAAGTAATTATTCCTGCCTGTAAGCACAAGACATCTTCCTTACAGTTGTATGACTCAAAGCCATGGAAACAAGACTTTCTTATTTGTTTTTTGGGGGTGCTGGGCATGGAACCCAGGATGTCACACATGCTGCTAAAAGCTAAACCACTGCCCTGGGTCTGTACTCCCTTTCCTTTATAGAAGCTTCCTTCTGGAGCTAGGAGTTGAGACCTTGGGACCTGGCATTTAGCCTCCCTTTTTGAAGTTTCCCAGTGCTCAGAGAAATAAAGGAGGGAGGTGAGCAATAGTTACCAGTGCTTCTGAGCTGCAGAGGGACACTCCTTGTCTTTGTACTTGTAGTTTCCCTGTTGATTTATCAAGTCAATTGTTTAAACTTTTCCATTCCTTGCAGAGACATACTCTTGAGTCTAGAAGTATGTCTCATGCCTTATTTCTGAAACTGTAACCCTCAGTATTCGCCAGTAGATACTAATAACCAATTTGAAATTACTACATTTTCTGTAAGTCATTGGGTTACAAAATTAACACGAGCTCATTCTAGTAAGTCAAGCAATGGTGCTATCTCTACAGAATTTTTTAAACGGGGAGTCACAAGAACCAGGAAATAAGGGAATCCGGAAGAAAACTGTGGAAAGCAAGACTCTCCAAAGCTGAAGCTGAGGACTTCAGCTCAAGCCAATATCTTCTTAATTCAACGAGTCAAATACTCAGTGCAGTAACTTGGTGCCAGTTTCCCAGACTCAGCTGATCCATGAGAGGATGTGTCAGCTAACTCATGCTCCCAGGATCTCAGGATCTCTCTCATATAGAATGAGTGAGTGACTCTCATGTAGGATGAGTGAGTGACTCTCATGTAGGATGAGTGAGTGACTCTCATGTAGAATGAGTGAATGACTCTCATGTAGAATGAGTGAATGACTCTCATGTAGAATGAATGAATGACTCTCATGTAGGATGAGTGAATGACTCTCATGTAGAATGAGTGAATGACTCTCATGTAGAATGAATGAATGACTCTCATGTAGGATGAGTGAATGGCTCCCTTCCTCACCCTCAGCTCTCTGCTTTGGATCACAGTTCTATGTGTGATATTGGCTACATGTGCTTGGAGCTGAGATTCTTCTAGAAGAATCAATGCCCCAATAGCTAACTCTAGCAGTGTGTTTGGCCAACGATGTTCCTTTGCTATATGCTTGTGGGTCTGCGAATTCTGCTTATGTTCTTACACTGAATGTTGTCACTTTAGGTTGTTGCATCTGTCACCCTGAGCTACCGTATTCAGGGTGACTCATACCCCTTGAGGAGTAGGAGCTATAGGTTTTGTTTCCTTTTATCACTATGTGTAGCATAACAAGTAAACTCAGCAACTAACCATAACTGAGGAAAAGTCATGCTTTCCAAGGTCAGTAAAAAACACCAGATATCTCTTCTTAGGAAAAAAATGTTTATTGAAATGCATGTAGATACATTATTGCCAGCATAAAACTGCTAATGGAGTTTTCAACATGGATTCTGTTAACTCTTAAAATGAAGTGAGGCTTTGAAAGTCCATTGTCCCATAAGAAAATATTATATTTCTCTGCTTGGATAAAGTCCTTTAAAAAAGCAAACCAGCTTTGAAATGTTCTTTAAACGTCTCCAGCCTATGGATATACAATGAAACAAAAGATATATTAAAAAGAATAATTGTTTTTGTTTGAAAAGAAAAATTAAATATGAATGATGTAGAGGTAAGGCATATGGGAAAATTATACATGACAAGTTAGAAAAATTTTCTCTTATTAGTATTCACTAAAATACTTAAGAAATAATAGAAACAGCAATAAAATGATTATGACTGATAATAAAACAGTAGTTTTACTTTTAATTTTAGGGGAAAGGTCCAACAAAATGTCTCCTCAAATAAAATTTTAGTAACTCTGATTCTAGTAACTTAGAAATATTGTTCAAAGTGAATTTTCATTTCCGTCTAGGGCTGTGTCATTTTAAGAAAAATTGAAATTAAATAGAATAACAGTATGTGGAAGAAAATTTGAGGAAATCATTGGAACTTTGTACAGGCTAATAGAAGTTAATAGCTAAGTCTTTGTACATGTGCTTTAAGACTTCTAGGCAGATGACTTATGGGTATTCAATTTCAACTTCATGCTCCACGCTGACCTGTTTGGATCCCCCCATGTTGTGTTGCTGTCCATCTCCAATGGAGAGTCTGTTGAAGGGAATTATCTTCATGGTAGTTTCCTTCATGGAATACCAGCGGGTTTTCCACGTGGCCCAAATAATGCCATTGTCATAGCCATTGGGCGTAGAAGCCTTTGAGTAAGTGCCGCCTGCAAGGGGTCAGAGGGGCATGTCATGTCTTTTATCCCTGCATTTCCTTACTTCACAGCCCATTGGAGTTATTATCACCTTTACTACATTTCCCCCTACCTGAAAACATCCCTAGAGGTCTAAAAGCCAACAAGACATTTTCCTGATCACATACATCCTTAAGTTAATTGCTTATTGCCAGGGCTGGAACACCTCTCTCTGTCTGTCTCTCTGTTTCTATCTCTCTTGGTCTCTCTCTCTCTCTTTCTTTGTTTGTCTCTATTTTCTCTATCTCTCTCTATCTGTCACCCTCAGGAAATCCTTCTGCATTTAGGTTACTATGGAAGAAGCTACAAATTCCTGATTAGGTGGTCTGACATTGTATGAGAGCATGATCTTCTGGCTAACCGAGGATGCTATTAAGTCCTTTAGAAAGTATCCCCAGAAAGTTGTTCCATATCGCCGTGCAGTTTCTCATCAGTAGACAGGGCTGTATATCCCTTAGCACTCCTGGTGTATCTCCATTCAAAACTGCTAGGTGATCAGTGAAATTGGTGTTCTAAACTCCTTCCACCTTACAGAAACCATCGCCTCCCCCATGTCCAAACAAGTGTCTACAATCCCCACGCTAGACCCTTCACTGTAGCTTTTATGCACCTATGCTCTCACTAGTACTTCTTTGCCTCTTACTTCATTTCTCCTGACATCTGTTCACTGCCCACTACTCGTATCTGACACACGGTTCATGGACCACTGAGCCAGGGAAATGTGTCCACAAGTGCAGATATGGCAGTGCTAGTCCATCTATGCCATACACATGGCAGGTGGAAAGGAGACACCTGTGTCAAACCCCAACTCAGACGATGAGAATGTCTGCATAATAACAAAACCCTGATATTTCCTAGGAATGGCGGAGGCAGGGGCACTATAGAGGTGACCACTGTAGGCAAAGCTTAATATTATTTAAGATAATGCCAGTTGGATAATTAATGTTATCCTATTCTGATTTCAAATAGAGTTATAAAATTTTAAAAATATTATATTGATTATAATCTTCATCTCTCTGCTTCTGTTTATCACCTTCCATCAAACATCTATTACACACTACTTATAACTGAAGAAAAAAAATACCTTGGTAATAAATTCCATTGAGGTGGCCAGCATGACATTTGTTCATCCACCAACCGGATCCATCCTGTTCAGCACAGTTGCCTTCAAACTTATCATTATCGTTGTCCCAGGTACTGAACTGCATGCCATTGTGGGATGTGAAAAACTTGTCACTGGGATCATCACCAAAGTCGTAGCCATCAAAGGCATCCCCAGCATCTCCACCAATGAAGTAGGCATAGGTCAGGCGGTATTTGTCAGATTCAGGACCCACCCTGAACATGGCATAGTCTGCAGTGCTGTGAGGATGGAACAGAGACAGTGCACCTTGGGTCTCAAGGCCAAAACAGACTTCACTGGAGTGAAGTTTTCTGCAAATCTACGCAATGACTGTGTGCACCAGTCCCGAGCTCATCCCCACCATCCAGGGTGGATCTAAAAGCCCTCAGTGAATTCCAGAAAAACTAAAACCCAGATGCTTGTTTTTTAGTTACAGAATCTTAAGATCAAAGAGAGACATTTGGGCTAATCTAATCATTTCTACTTTCATTTAAATTTTGTTATCACTACACATACATTATCATAGATCACAATAATTATCTGCAATGCGTGAACTCATGCCCCAGATTTAAAAGAGTCGGGTTCCATTATCAGTCAGTACCACTTGAAGTGTGAGGGCATAAAAGGTTCTCCTTTTACAAAGCAATGGCAAAAAGATACTTTCTAGAATATCACAGAAGCCATAAACTCTGTGTGATACATGAAATGAGTGCCACAAGAGCCAGAGAGACCTCCTCTGGAAAAATTTGTGAAGGGCACTGAACAGAAAGAATAGCTACCCTTTGTGAATAGAGATTTCCAGAAAATATCTAATCTCTTCCCCAATATCTCACAATTGGGAAACAGATGAAAAAGGCCTGCTGATTCTGATAGTTTGGGGAGTTAAAGTAAAATTTAAGAAATGTGTTTGGAACTGAAGCTTGTTTCATTGTTTCATATATAATAAGAAGTTTGTATAATTTTCTTCACTTAAATTAGATGTTCAAAACCCAAACTCCAGATATCTCTCAGTCCAGGAAGGCTGGAGCTCACCTTAAGAATCAGTAGATTTGAAGGTGGTTCATAGTTTGGCAGAATGAATGAATCATTAAATGAGTGGGAAATCTGAATGCCTGGATTTGATTGAGTTTAATTGCATGCACAATTTCTGATTCACATTTAACACCCCGTATCAATCACTCTCAATGTTTCCAAGTATATAAATTGTGCTAGGGCATCTTGATCTGCACTGAGGAGACCTATCTTCCCTCTCTATTCAGGCTGTCCAAGAACCAAATGCCCTCCTAGGAAAGAGCCTGGATACAATTTTTTTCATTTGTCAGGTTGTTTTGCCATTGTTCCATTGCCAGCTTCAAAGGGTCCGTCTGCAGCAAAAACTCACAACAAAAAGTGGAAGTCCCTTCCACAGCATACCTGGTCCTGCCATTCCAATCTTTGAGCTGTATTCTCAGTGTATATGGGATTGTGGACTGCATGCTTATCAAATGAATCTTCTCATTCCCCAGCCAGAACTCTGTGGTGCCAGTAGGAGACAGGTGTCCAAATCCTTCTTTATACTGAACCCAGTTCTTCTTGAAATCCAGACTGCCATCAAGCCTCTAGTGCACAACAGCAGGGACAAGAGGAGAGAGTGGGTGAGTGGTGCATACGAAGAAGCCACATCCAAAACATGGAGGTCATGATTCTGCCATCAACCAGCTAAATGACCTCGTGTGAGCCGCCTCCATGTCATCATCTACCAAATAGAACAGTGATGCTCTGAGGACTACAGACATCACACACACACACACACACACACACACACACACACACACACACACACACACACACGCTTAATGATAGGGGCATTTTTTCTCATTGTTTTTAGTTTAGTTTAGTTAGTTTTTTTTTTTTTTAGTTGTAGGTTCTTTGAAGACCCTCAGAAGTCTTCAGAACTCACACTTGGTACTACAATGCGCTACTCAAACACATTGCCAATAGACAGTCCTGCAGGGGGCGCTGTAAGGATGGCAGGAAGTATATGGGTTTTTTTTTTAAAGGGAGTCAATTTTGCAGTGGGTACCAGGCAGGAAGATGCCAAAAAACAACAACAATGACGACAACAACAACAAAATATCACTTTGCTGTGACCCGCCCAGCTTCATCCTCTGAGAGGCTCTGGGTTACTGTTGATGGCCAGCCTTATCTCCTGATCTGAGGAAAGAGACCTCTTCTGTATCTTGTCACTAAAGCACTTTGCTTATGTGACCATGCAATATGACAGATTATGCTTACTATGACAGCAGAGTCAGCACGGTGTTACAGCAAAGCAAGGTAGAGCCGGGCTGCTGGATGCGAATCCTGCCCATTACTCATTACTTAGGGGGTCTCATGCTTCAGCGTCTCTTCTACAAGTTAAGGTGACAACAGCGTTCACCTCAAAGAGGCTACAGTGAGGGTTATGTGGGCTGTTGTTCACAGGCTGCCTATATATGCAGTCAGAGGCTGTCCCTTACCTTCTGCAACACCGTCCAGCCGTTTCCAGATGCATCGATCTCACAGTACACTAAGAACTGCTGTTTAGACTTCAAAGGCCGGATGAAGTAAAGTCCGCTTTCTTTGGCGCCCTTGTTGGCAATTTCCTGACAATCTGAAGAAGAAGCAGCAAGTAAAACTGCTGCAGAGGCTTGAAACCCAGGCAGGGTGCTCCCAGTTTCAGCTGCCTCCCTAGCCTTCCCTACCACCATGCCTTCCCAATATTGATTAGTACCCAGGGAAACTCAGGGCAGCTGGAATCCTAAGGTTGATGGTCAGATGCCTTCTAGACTTGTAACACTTTGCAAGATGCACAATTGCTTTTATTTTGACTGTTTGCTTTGATGACTGTGATCCCAGGGTAAATTTCCTTCATACCTTTTCCAGTTGTGTCATGGATTTGCACGGTGTCTTTGCAAGGCTCCTGGCACTGAGTTTCAAGCTGGGCAACCTTCTGTTTCAGGTTTGTGATCTTCTGGTTATTTGAATTATATATTTCCTGTAAATACCTGGGAAAAGAGCAATGCAGTAACAGGGGATAAGCATTCCTTTCAGAAGAACACAATTCTTTTTTCTTTTCTGTCAGAAATGCTGCTTTATTTTCTCCAGCACTCCTTTTCGATAAATTACTTCATTCTTGGGAAATTGTAAAAATTTTGAGTTGTAAAACTAAATTGAAGCTTTTGAGAAAAGAAAAATTAAATCCCAATCCATTTCAATAGGAAGGCAATTGGGACTTGGATGGGGCAGCAGGTCTCAACTTTGAACACAAATAACAAAGTCCCTGTCAATAAACAAAGGTCACTGTAGGTGGCTTTCCTGAGCTTCTCTTTTTCTATAAGGGGACTCAGCTAATAACATGAGTGGGTGGTAGGCCTGGTTAAGCAGTAGCTCACACATGCCATGTAGGGCTTTCCATCTGTTCTGTGACTTCCATGGGAAAGGTCACTGGGATACTTTACTACACATGAAGCAGTAGATACTTTCCCTTTCTAGTTCCATATCTCTAGAAAACATCTGGGGAAAGTAAGGATTTTGCCTTGGTCATTCTCCACATGTTTGTTTGTAAATATTCAGACACCACAGATAACTGTGAACAACACATAAACCACCGTGTCTGACTTTGAGGTAAAGAAGAGGGACAGACTGCTGCATCACTTTGCTCCTCTGTTCTAGAAGATTTCTCACAGCGGTTTCCTTATACTTCAATGATGACCAAAAGTAATGGAAGTTATAACGATAATCGTAGTAACAACAAGCACTGCTTTCTGGTAGCAGAGGGGAGAAATGTGTTTGAGGCCACCTCTCCATCTAGCTCAGTTTCCAATGGTGCTGTGAGTTCAGTTTGGGGGGAAATTGCGAAAGGAGTTAAAGCTGCATCCAATAGCCTATGCCCAGAGTCCCTGGAAAGTTGGAGGTATAATGGCAGGTCCATGTACTATGGTCAAGTGACTCCAAGACATCCACTTTCTTCTCCATCTTTGACATGATTTGCTATAGTAGCCAAGAGTCTTCTTCTGTCTCTGTTTTCTGATTTCTTAAGGTTGATTTGGTGACATAATTGTGAAGAGAATTGTATTTTCCATACCCCAATTCCCATGCATTTGGCTTACATTGTAGGAGGATTGGAGCCATTTAAGCAAACAGGGCCAGGGTAGCATTTGAATATATCTACAACAACCTTTCTCATATGTGGTTATTATTATCATTTTTTAATTACAAGCTGGTACAACTCATTTTTTACTAGAAGCTCTTAGTTCCATTGGGTTAATGTCAATTTGATATTTTAAATGAAAAATACATTCCAAGATCACTTTCTGTGAAATGTGAACTATTAAGTAAAATCTCACTCTGCCTTGGAGAGTAAATTAAAACCCAGACGCTTACCGAATACTTGTCTCATGTGTTAATATCAGGGCTTCGTATTTCATAATTTCCTCTGTCATCTTCTTAGACTTCTGAGTGGCACTGTCTATCATATCTGTAATATAGGGTCAGAGACAGAGAAACCACTTAAGGCAACAGCCCAGCTAAAAGCAGAAGAGGGAATTCCTCAGTGGGCATTCTCACTTGGCTTTGGGGGTTGGTTGGGGTTGTAGTAAACTTGTATTGCTTTGATCAGTTCATTGGCTTCTGTGGTTCTGTTTTGAGCACGAGCTAAGATGTCTTCTAGAGCCTGGAGGTCATTGTCCACGTTGGTTTGGTAAGAGGACAGGAAGTCTTCGATACCACAGGTGGTTGGGCAGTAACTACCCTGCAAGTCAATAAGGAGGCAACTGAACAGCCCGGGAGAAGAAGCCTTAAACCCTACCCATAAATGTTAAACTGTTCCCCAAAAGGTTAAGACGTTCCCATCCTTCTCTAGTCCCAAGAAACAGAACGACGTAGAAACTACTTACGAATCTCTCATCTAGGATGCAACAGTTATCTCTGGTAGCAACGTACTGTGGGAGAAAAACACAGACATTTTTGCTAGTGGCTCTGATCGTTTCCCATTTTTGCATTTAAAATAATATGGTTCCTGAAGAGTACTTACTGCCAGCCCCGTTGGAGAGAGCAGCAAAAGGATGCAGCAGAGAATGAAACTCCGGAGCTGCAAGGACCAGCTCATGGTGTCTGTGTGTCCTGGTGTTCCCAGCCCCTCTCAGCCAGCACTGTGACCTCTTGGGCTCTCCACAGTCCTTTATGTGAGTTCCTAGTCTGGGCGGGACTAAGAGTGGCTGGAACTGGTCACGTGGCCTCTTTACCAGAAGTGTGGGCACATTCTGGCTCCCAGCTGTGCTCTGTCAGATTTCCAGATTTTGCACACAGGTTTAAGCTCCTCCTTTTGGGCTCAGCCCAACCTGTCTCCCGACACACACAGGCAACTGCAAAAGCCAGTAAAGCATTGGCTCTGAGGAGGGATGGAGGCTGCGTGATGCAATGGCTTCCAGTACACCACCACCAGGACAAACAGTGTTCTGACCTGCGCATAACAAACCCCGCCTATTCCGAGGTCTGGCCTGCTGCAGCCACAGGCATTACTGAAAGACCTGTCTTAGCCCGTGGATGAGGTGATACTATTATTTTTAACCTGTGGCTATCACAGGAGGTGACTTTTCCTCCCTCCAGGCCTCACTTCTGTATTCCCAAGAATGAATCGTGCTGGAAATAAGTTCCTGTCCAATCTGTGCTGTCCTTTTTTTCCCCTCAGGTCAATTCTCATGGCTCCCATCTACTGCAAAAGGGAAGGAAAGGGCCAGGGGCTCACTGGTTTGTCCCAAAGTCCCAGCTAGTTCTTAGAAGGAAAACTTGCCCTCAGGGAAGCCCAGCTGCCACACATGTCACTAGAAGCCTTGTTGAAGGAGAAGAAAGAGAGACTCTGAGAAGGTTCGTCGTCTTTGTGGTGGAAAGGCGTTGTCGCCTCTTCTTGATAAGAATGAACATCTGTAGCACTGTCACTAAATGTTTGCAGCTGCTCCCTTCCTCTCATGACACCAAGCCTGCTGCAAACTGTGGTGAGCTAAGTGATTGAAAGAGATGCATCTAATTTGAAAGATGCACCAAAATTTTGCTATTTGACTTGAAGTTTTTACAAAGTAGTGTCTGCTTTGACATTAACAACAAAGAAATACTTGTGCTCTGTAATTAGTCAGAAATAATTTTTAAAAAATGAGCTCATCTAACCAAAAACGTGACCATTTCTCTTCCTGATTGGATCTCCCTCCACTTCAGTCACTTCCTGTTGCAAGCTATTTGGCAATCTTCTTACAGAGTAGCTCAGACTGTGCCATTCAGGGGCTTAAAGACCATTAGCAAGCCGTCTCTAATCATAGCGAATGCAAACCACACTCTTGTCCTCCTAGACTTGCTGCTTTTCCTTTTCTGCATCCTGAGTCTTACCTGTGTGAGCTTTCTCGAATCCTCTCCTGTGAAACATGGAGTCCCATTTCTGATTATGTTTTTCTGTTTTCTACTCTTTTGGGGGGCCTGATTTGCCAAGATTCATAGGAATTACTGAATTTATAACTGTCAAAAAAATGTTCCAAATAAGCCAAAAGTCCTGTGTCCTGGAAGTTGGTCCCCTTTAACACAGCATCACCCCAAAGCACTGGCTCTAGCTCTCTGTGTTTGTAGGATTTATAGAGCCCTGCATTCTATACCCTACTAACTTGTCAGTGGAAGCTTAGTGCTTGGCTACAGCACCAACAGAGAGAACCGTAGCGACCACTCAACTATTGAATGACTTCAATTGCTTGCGCTGGAAGTGAGACTACCTTTAATGCCAACACTCCTGGAATTCTCAAATTTTCCAAGTTGCAAAAGTGAGGCACCTCGCCTACTGTTAAATGAAAGAGAAAAGCATGACATTTGCATTTTTTGAAAAAATGATGCTAGAATGCATAAGTAACAGGGAGGCACACACTTCCATGTTTTCAAGAGAAAGAATTGGTATTACCACTGTTGTCTCTGTGGCTAGGAGCAGGGCCATGATGAGTAAGATTAGGAGAAAGGCTTCATTTTCTTGGAATATTTTATTCTATGCCTTTAAACATTGAGGACACCTATATATTATCCACTCAAAGTACACAATGTTTGGTCATTTGCAGTGATTTATTTGTTGTATTAATAATAACTTGTATCACTTGCAGTTGTTAAGGGTGCTGGAGTCCACGTGCCTGGGTTGGAATCCCATCTCCATGCCTTGCTAATTATGTGTCCCTTAGTCTCTCTGTCTTTCATAACTTGTGTTAGTAGAATAGAAATAATACTTCTACCTATTTATAAAAATCTCATCAGAACTCAGTGAGTGATGTGTTGAGTACATTGATTGACAAAGCACATTAAGTGTTTCCAAGGTTTACAATATACAGGGTGTTTTATGCAACTTGTATAAACAGGAATTTCTTTATTTCCATCGAGTTTTAATAAGAATTCTTATTGGTATGCTGCATGCATGAAAATGAGGTTTTTTGCAGTTATAAAATGTTCTCTTCTATAAACGATCTGTTGTGATCAACTGCCATCTAGAAGGCTCCATAGACAACAGAGATCTCGGTTACCTCCTAAATAAAATATACCCCTCACAAATTGAGTGATAAGAAGTATACTGATGCCTCACAAGAAGGGTGTGACAGTGTCAGAGCCACCTATAGATAGACAGAACATGTTTCTCTCATGGGTCTTTGTACCTAAGAGTGGAAAATACTAACTTGATTCTCTGGTCACAGTCACTGGCACAGTTTGGGTGTTTAGGCTCTCAACCTCATGACATCTATTAATTGTATCAATGGATGTAGTACAAGTAAAACTCTTCAGCTGAAGATGTTAAAAATGTATCTTACCCAATAATTAAAAAAGATTTACCAATGTTTATTCTATGTATATGAGTGTTGGTTTGCACAATTGTATAGTACCATGTGTGTACCAGGTATTGCAAAAGGCCAGAAGAGACTCCCCTGGAACTAGTTTTGGACAGCTGTGAGCTACCATGTGGCTAGGACCAGAACCCAGATCTTGTGCGAGGGCAGCAAGTTCATTGAATCACTGAGTCATCTCTCCAGCCCTGAAATCAAAGCACATTTGTTCTTTTTTTTCTGAGACAGGGTTTCTCTGTAGCTTTGGAGATTGTCCTGGAGCTCACTCTGTAGTCCAGGGTAGCCTTGAACTCAAAGAGATCCACCAGTCTCTGCCTTCCAAGTGCTGGGATCAAAGTCGTGTGCCACCACCACCTAAACTTTTTTTAAACTAGGTTAGTAGAAGCAGAAATGTGTTATCAGAATTTCATAAAAAAGATTGACCTTTTGCTAGTTTCAAGCCCCAGATCTAGTGACCTACATTGGTCTTACATTGCTTGATAACACCTTGGTTAATTACATTTTAACTAACTGCTCTCCTCTGTGTTTAGGACACCCTTTTCTCGGATAAACGATAAATGATTAATGAATTCCTAGGGAAAAGAATATTTCCTAAATTGGGTTTCCTCTACTTTTAGGTTTGTTTGTAGAGAAAGCAGTAGATGTGTCATATGAGCCAAAATAATAAGTTAATATGACTCAGAAGGCACAGGTTTGCTTGTGAGAGCAATAATGCTCCAGGTTCCTGATCATCAAGCTGTGTTCTGGCTTGAGATTACAGATGCTACCAAAGGTCTTCCCATATGCTGAGGACTCCTTCTGAGTCCCCTGTCTACTCAGCTTCACTCTGAAAGTTGTCTGTTGAACTTGACTCATCCAGTCAGTTGACCAATGAAGATGACACCTAATCCTGGTGACCTGACATAAGCTTAAAAGCGTGATAAGAGCCACCAATCTGGAGTGTCTTCATGGTAGACACCACACCGCAACTTGGTTGTTTCTCCTCGTGTGTCCTGTCACTTAGAGCTTAGAATGAGCCTACAAGGTAGATTTGAACTTGAGAATGAGAGTTATCATAAGAGGGTTATTTGACGTAGCTCCCCCCCTCCCCACTGTGCCAGAACAGGGATTTAACCCGGGCACACAAACCCATGCTGCCCACTGTCTTTGTTCTTCACCATGGTTCTGCGCCTGGTCACAGGGCGGTTCTTTTTTCTTTTTTTAGTGGAAAAGGTATTCCTTCCCTTTTATTGAAAATAGATGTTTTTCCTCACACAATAATACCTTGATTATGGTTTTCCCTCCCTCTACTCCTCCAGGTTCCTCCTTATCTCCCATCCCATCCATTCACTCCCTTTCTGCCTCTTGTTGGAAAACCAACAGGATTCTAAAGGATAATGATAATATAAAATGAAACAAAAATCAATGGGCTGGAGAGATGGCTCAGTGGTTGAGAGCACTGGTTGCTCTTTCAGAGGGCCTGGGTTCGATTCCCAGCACCCACACCGCAGCTCACACCTGTCTGTAACTCCAGTTCCAGGACTTCTGACACCCTCACACAGACATGCATGCAGGCAAATACCAGTGAGCATAAATAACATAAATTATTTTTTAAAAAATCAGCACATTGGAATTGGGCAAAACAAACAAACTGGAGGAAAAAAAGAGCTCAAGAGAATGCACAAAAATCAGAGACCCATTCATTGGTGCACTCAAGAATCCCACAAAAACATTAAACTGGAAGCCATAATATATACACACAGAACCTGGTGTGTATATATACATATGGGTGTATGTATGTATATCCATGTGTGTAAGTGTGTGAACCTCTGTCCATGTGCAAAAGCCAGAAGAAGACATGGGGTATCTTTCTTTACCGCTCTCCACATATTCCTTTGAGAAAGAGTGTTGCCCAGAACCTTGGGCTCATGTGTTCTACACTAGGCTAGAAGCTACCATGCTTCAGTGGTCTTCCTATCTTCACCCTGTTCAGAGCTGGTATTTCAGCTGTGTATCGGATGTTTAGTGTGCTGTGTGGGTGATGGAGTTTGAACTCTGGAGCACCTTATCACACAGCAAACACTGTTAACCACTCAGTCTTCTCTCCA